CCTAAACCCTAAACCCTAAACCCTAAACCCTAAACCCTAAACCCTAAACCCTAAACCCTAAACCCTAAACCCCCTAAACCCTAAGTGAAATTTTTTAGCGCTACCGCAGTCCACTATGTAGGGTATTGTGGTTCAAGTGCAGTAGACTTAAAGGAGAAAGTTGCACCATTCTGCTAGGAATTGGATCTGTGAGATTGTTAGATGATCAATGAAAAAGAATGATTGATCATTTATCCAGCAGTTAGGAATACTTCCAGATAACATATTATTTCAGAGATCAGGATATCCCAAAGATTTTAAATTACAAAGCAACTTTGTAATATTTCCAGATAACATACTGTTTGAGAGATCAAGTGCTAACAAATATCTTAAATTGCATAGTGACTTTGGAATTGAACCATTCATGAGGTTATTTGCAAGGAATAATCCCTCCAACATGTGCACAATATGACCTATATTTTTTGGAAGATGACCTGAGATACTAGCAATAGAGAGATCAACCATGTTTATTGTCTTATGTAATTGAAGCCATTTAAGAAATCCTGTTTTGAATTGATTGCTGAAAAGATCTATTTTCTCTAACTTAAAAAGTTACCCGATGCTTTCTGGAATACTCCTCAATTTATTCTCAGAAAGATCCATGATCTTTAACTCATAAAGTTGCCCGATGCTAGCTGGAATACTCCTCAATTGATTCTCAGAAAGATGTATGCATTGTAACTTAGAAAGTTGCCCAATACTATCTGAAATACTCCTCAATTGATACTCCTTAATTGATTCTCAGAAAGATCCATGATCTCTAACTTAGAAAGTTGCCCGATGCTATCTGGAATACTACTCAATTGATTCTTAGAAAGATGCATGCGCTGTAACTTAGAAAGTTGCCCAATGCTATCTGGAATACTTCTAAGTTGATTCCCAAAAAGATACATGCCTTCTAACTTAGAAAGTTTCCCGATGCTATCTGGAATACTCCTTAGTTGATTCCTAGAAATATCCATGCCCTCTAACTTAGAAAGTTGCCCGATGCTGTCTGGAATACTCCTCAGTTGATTCCCAGAAAGATCCATG